TCCGCATGAAGATTTCCCACGGGGTTATCGATGCCTCTTGTTGCCATGCTGACGAAGGTAAAGAAAAGAGTGATGACCTACCGTTGGCACCATCTTCGGAAAAGCTCATCGAGTCCACTCCTCAAGAAGTTAATGCTTTTGAGGAAAAAGTCACGTTCACAAATGACGATATTCTGCTAGGTGACACTCTTCATAACCGCCCATTGTACCCGGTTTGCTATATGCGTGATGAAAGGGTAAATCGAATTTTGGTTGATGGAGGATCCTCAGTGAACATTTTGCCAATTCGCATTGTGAAAGAACTTGGTATTCCCAGGAATGAACTCTCAGAAAGGCGTGTGATGATCCAAGGATTCAACCAAGGGCGGAAAAGAGACATAGGCGCGATCAGGATGGAAATCATCATTGAAGATATGCAATCAAGTACATGGTTGCATGTGATCGATGCAAAGACTTCATACAACGTATTGCTTGGAAGGCCTTGGATACATGAGAATAAAGTGGCTCCATCTACCTACCATCAATGTTTGAAATACTACGAAGGTGAAGTCGAGAAGAAGATAATTGTCGATGACGAGCCATTCACCGAGGCTGAGTCACACTTCGTCGATGCAAAGTTCTACTTGAAGAACCGCATTGTGAAGGAGCTAAAAGCTGATGATGTCATGAATGACAAGGATGATGAGTCCACGACTAAGAGAGTTGAGGTGATTGCTGACAAAACCAAAGTTGTTGCTGAGAAGGTACACCCCAACCAAAATAAGTCTCATAAAGGGAACATTATGTCTCATAGCAAGAAAGTAACTCATTCGCTCCAATACGTCCCTAAAAAGAAGAAAGATGAAGGTGAATCATCTAATCTCCAAACTAACATGCTAAAGGGGTTAACTCTTCCGGTCAAACAAATTGAGGCAATAAAGTCGTCCTCAATCCCGCTTGCAGGGTTTGTGGCCCAAAATTATTTGCAGAATGTGGCACTCCCTATAAAGCGAACAGATGAAGATTTTGATCCTAACGCTTACAGGCTATTTGCAAAGCTGGATACAATCTTAATGAAGTGTCAAAGTTAGGGAAGCTACCATCAGAAGCTACACGAGACAACCGCGTGAAGGTTTGGGATACAAGCAACCGTCACCATTGCCCATCTCCATAAGAAGGGCAAGCAGCAATTATATCACAACAGCTGATGTCTTAAAAGAACTTAACCTTGGCACTGATGAAGAAAATGCTTGACTTCGATTAGCAGAGTTGGAGGCTCTTGATGAGAAGAGGTTGGAAGCTCAACAGAGTCTTGAATGTTATCAAACTCGATTGTCTCGCGCCTTCAATAAAAGAGTTCGCCCAAGATCCTTTCAAGTAGGAGATCAAGTCCTTGCCATAAAAAGACCCATTATTACTTCCCATAAACATGTAGGGAAGTTCACTTCAAAATGGGATGGGTCATATGTCGTGCAATAAGCTTATTCAAGTGGGGCTTACAAGCTGGTTGATGCAGATGGCATGAGAATCTACCCTATCAAAGACAAGTTTTTGAAGAAGTATTATCCTTGAAGTTATAACTCTCCTTGACGCATGATCCTAAACTGCATGTTCCTACATTCTTGGCCTGCATGAGTCTAAACTGTGTACGGCCCATCAAAAAAAAAAGGTCTGCTAGGTTGAAAACCTCGAAGAGGCGGCCTAGGCAAAAGTTAGGACATATACAAAAACAAGAGTCTGCTAGGTTGAAAATCTCGAAAGAGGCGGCTTAGGCAAAAGTTAGGACATAAAAAATTAAAAAAAAATTAAAAAATTAAAATTTTTAAAAAAATCACCCATTCTGAACTACGGTATGACTTGATCCTCTTCATCGAGGTACGTAAGCAGCTTAGAATTTCATTCTAAGTTCTCACATGAGTTCAAAAGATACATAGTGCCCCAATCATCGTTCGAATGAAGTACGATGGAATGTAATCCATTCAATCAACACTTGAAAATCGAGTTGAGATACCATTCTTCTGTTAAGCCTTGGATCCCATTTGATTTAAAGGGGGCAAGCTGCTATGGTAAAATGGTGTCTTCATTGAAATGATGACAATATTTGCATCAAAGTCTGGGGATTCGCTCTGTCTTCATGTTCGCATAACTTTCAAGTTTCTTAGTCTTCATATCCGCTCACTGCCCTAAAAAAAAGGGGAAGAGTAACAATCGCAATCTTGAAAGAGAGCATGGATGAGTGAAAAAAAAAATTTGCCTCACACAAAAAAAGAAAGGATGTCTATGTCGGACCTTTTCTAAAGGTTTTCGTTGCGAACTTTTAAAGGTGTTCGTCTCGAACTTTTAAAGGTATTCGAATTTTTAAAGGTTTTCGTTACGAACTTTTAAAGGTATTCGTCTCGAACTTTAAAGCCATTCGGATTTTTAAGGTTTTCATTCCGAACTTTTAAAAGACGTATGTTTCGAACTTTTAAAGGTGCTACTTTTAAGGGTCCCCACCGTCGACTTTTAAGGATTTCTACTACGAGCTTTTAAGGGGTTTTGCCACGAAATTTTAAACGTCTTTGTCGCATGCTTTTAAGAGTCTTCAGCGAGAGCTTTTAAAGGTCTTCACTGTGAACTTTTAAAGAGCTTGACCACGAGCTTTTAAGGATCTTTGCACGAACTTTTATGGGTCTTTGCCACAAATTTTAAAGGTATTCATCGCGAACTTTTAAAGTTCTTCATCGCGGACTTTTATGGGTATTCGCCACAAATTTTAAAGGTCTTCATCACGAACTTTTAAAGGTATTTACTGCGAACTTTTAGATGTCTTCACCGCGAACTTTTAAAGGTCTTCGCCACGAACTTTTAAAGGTCTTGACCACGAGCTTTTATGAGTCTTCCCCGTAAATTTTAAAGGTATTTATCGCGAACTTTTAAAGGTTTTCGTCTCGAACTTTTAAAATACTTCGTAGTTTGACGAAGTTACTACTAAAAAAAAAAAAGGGAGGCAACATAGTGAAAAAAAAAGGGAGAAGTCTACAAAAATAAACTCAAGTGGCCTGCAAATACTGCGAACTGATGCTCACAAGTTGGAGAATAGGCACCCTTTATATAGATTTCTCGAGTCAGCAATTGAGAATAAAGTCCCAATGTGGGATTATCAACTAAGGCGGCTGGAACAAACTGAGTTCAACACGGACTCGGTGTCCATCTTCAAATAGGAATGGAATATACATGGATTACGTCGTCACCGGCAGAATAAGTTTCAAAACTGAGATTCCATAGTAAATCATGGAAAAAGTTCCTAATATAGCTATGTTTGACAGTTTGAGTCTAAAGCAATGTAAATGAATTGCAAATTGAATGACGTGGACACAGGAATGAAACCACGTGAATTCAACTTATCCTAGCCTAATAATTACTGTTGGACAAATGTATATTCCCAGTGTATTATATACGCACATAAAGGATATGTGTGTTTTATGTACGTTATACTTCAAAACTCGTCACGGGGTAAGTGATTTCATACCCCAATAAGATTTAAAGTAGGGGTATTTCTAGGCATTTAAATTTATTAAAATTAAATCCATAAAATAATTTGGACTATATTTTGAATTCAAGATATATTGGTCCAAATAAATATATGGGCTAATATAATTGAATTAATTGTATAAGTCCAATATAAATGGATTAAATAAATAAGTCGTAATCCATTGGGCTAGCCCATTTAATTGGGCTAAAGTGATGAGTTCACTTCATTAAGCCCAAAATGTTATCCTCCTAGAGGCCAGTTTGGTGCCACGTGTCAAATGACGTGGCATGCCAAGTCAAACGAAAGAGCCAATAGGATCATGCCACGTATCAAAATAGCAAGGGATGCCAAGTCAAATTGAAAGGCCAATGAAAATGTGCCACATGTACAAGTGATATGTTCTGACCAATCAAATACGGCCTTGTCACTCTTCAATCTGATTGGTCGGAAAGAGTTTGTTCTCATCACAACTCTTCCCTCCCACAACTATAAATAGGGGTTTTCATGACTCATAAAGACACCAGAAGTTATAACAAGAAGCAAGAGGGAGCTCGTGGATCAAACGCTGCGGATTTGTCTAAAAGCTACAAGCATTCAAGTGTTCTAAGGATTAAAAGATCAAGACGAAGATTCAAGAACAAGCTGCAAGCCCTTGGATTAAAAATACGTCCAGATCAAGATCAAGCTTCAAGCACTTGGATTAAAATAAAATAAAATTCAAGATTAAGCTCGGAGGCTCTTTTATTTACTATTGAAAAGAAGTATTACAGGATTCATAGAGATTTTAACACTCAATTATTTGAAATAAAATACTACGATTGTTGCAATATCTTTCGGTCTTGATTTTATTTTCTCGACGCAATTTATTGTTTACAGGTTGTTTTTGAATTTTTGTGAGTGATTTGAATGAAAATTTTGAAAAACAGTTTTTTTGAGTTTTTCAAATTTTCGAAAATTTCAAAATGCATATTCAAGTGAAAATTGAAAATTTTATGAACAAACGCTGATTTCGAAAAAAAATAATTTTTTTTTTGAAAAAAAGAAAAAAATTTCTTATGTCCAAACGGGCTCTAAAATTCTTTTGCTACGTCACTTACCAGGAAAATAACTTTGCTTTTTGTTGCTCCGTCAAGTATCTTCTCCTTGGGATGATTAATAACTTATTTAATTCAGTGGTTAGAGGGCTGCTACATTTTATCCTCCCGTACCCCACTTGTGGAAGTTACGGAGTTTGTTATTGTTGTTGGTTAGAGTACAGCTTTTATTCGACGATAGCCGATGGGAGTAACTAGTTCAAATCCAAAAGTAAGTAAAACATATTACTCCTTGATAACATTGACTTTGGTATCAAAATAAACATAAACATCTTTTTCCAATGTAAAAGGATTTAGAAGTTAATGATCGGAGAAATTCGGAAATGCATCTTAGTTATCCACAAATACATCAAAGTCCACTTGAAAAGGCACCAAGTTTACTTCATAAAATATTATAACCGGATTTATTGTGCTATTGAAGGTACAAAATAACTTCACTTTAAAAGAATGAAAAAATATTCTACAAAATGGATCTCTCCAAACAAAAAAGACTTTTCAGATGATGTTGTTTCCTAAGAAAAAGTAAGATGAAAAAAATTGAAGGCAACAAAATGGCCTCCATCCAGTAAGTGCTTTCTACATTATACCTTGTTGTTGGCCAGCTCTAAGTTTTTCTAATTCTTCTTCAGAATCTTTCAATTGTTCTTTCAATGTGGCTATTCTCATTTCCAGCTCTTCCACTGAACCTCGTATGAGAGAAGGTTGATACGGTGTCAGAAAGCGATGTGAAAATGCTTTCAGAGCTTCAACACCACAAACCTATCAAAAAGTGAGAAACATCAGTAATCAGACTGGAAAATCTTTGTTTATTGTATAGTTTAGAAGATATATGATCAATTTCGTCTTCCAAAGAAGGCAGAACTCGTTTCTTTGTTCTTTTTTGTGGAGGTGGGGGTGGGGTGGATATCCAGGATATCTACAACAGCATCTTCAAACCTCTTGTGGTAGCAAAGGCAACTTGGTAATATTGAAGTCGTCATATAACATGTAGAATTGGTCCAAGTACTTTTGTTGCATCCGCATCCTAGCCTTTAGCAGCTTCGATTCAACAACTAAAAACAATCACAAGTTCCAAGAATCAAATTTTCCCTCCTAGAAGAACAGCCATCAGGTAAAAAGTGAAAGAATCAACTATTCTACAGAAAAAATATGAGACTGGTACCTTCTTCATCGAAAAGCACTTGATTAATTATAATGTTATGTGTATCAATCTCGAATTTAGTGAGTTCCTGAACAAGTCTTTCAGTCTCATATAGAGAGAGGAATTCAGGAATGCAAACACAAACGAATGTCGTCAAGTCCTGTTAAAACAAGTACCATTAATGATAATGATGGCTTGAAAGTACTCCAAAAGGTGCAAGTAAACAAAAAAAAAAGAAGGAAATTTATTCAGCCATTCAGTAAGATTATCTGTAAGGAATTTTCCCCTGCCTTTCCCAGGACAAGTAATAGTTTTGCAGAAGCCAACAAATGGATTACCAGGTAACAGCAACAGACTACTCCACCTCCACAATTAAAACTAAAAGGCAAGGAGAAAATATGCGTTGTGTCGTAAAGAAACTGTTCAGATAAATAGTTGCTAGAACCACTAACGAACTGTTCAAACTAAGTTTCTGCCACAATGCAAGTGTTTGCAAAGAGGAAAAGAATGGGAACTAGACAGCACATCAGTTACATATCTGGCTTCCTGCAATTATGCGACTTCTAAAGCTATGGTGAATACTTCTAATGCTATTCAGGAATAGCAAAGGAATCTTCTTAACAGCAGATGCCAGCAGCAGCAGATGGAGGAAATTCACGACTAGTCCTTAATCCCATTACTTCAGTTTTCAGTTAATATTGTACCCCCTTATAGTTATGGTCACGCAACTACAGAGACATTCATGCGAAAGTTGTAAAATTTCTAGTTCTTGTTCAAGCTAAATAGTACCTCTTCTGCCACTGCCAACCCCCTTCGTCAAAACAACACATTGAGAAGAAAGCTACATTTTGGTGGTTTTTCTTCTTTCAATTTTTTTTGGGGGTGTGGGGGGAGGGGGGGGCGCTGTGGGCAGGAGTAGAAAAAATGCAAAAGAAACGATACAAATGCTCAGTCATACAGAATTCTAGTGCTAAATGCTAAAGTCTCATCGACAAGTGTCACTACTTTCGCTATGAGCCTATGACATCTAAGTAGTGCGGCTACTGTTAAATCTACCACAGCTTCCTGATTTTGTTGATGCTGCTTATTCAAACTTTTCGCCAGTTTTCCAAGGTCCAAAAAGAAGATTCCCTGTACTTCACTAATTATTTACACTATGATCCAGCAATCACAACATAAAAACAACTTCTTCATTATAAGGACGACCATTTCAAGGTAAAATCTNTCAAATGCAAATGAACTTAAGTCTAACTGATAAAGAAAACACACCAGAAATATTAGCCCAGCACATTTCGTGGCCTTGAATGATCTACCAAATAGTAGCATCTAAGTAATATGAATGTACCATAAGTAAATGAATGTTGGGAATAGGGTTTTTTTTTTTTTGGATAAGGTTGGGAATAGGGCATGTTAAAAGCATCTGTAGTGATAAAATAATTTTTTTAATAAGTCTATAGTGACAAAAAATTTGGAATTACCGAAAAAGAAAATCACTTTTGAATCCAAATTCGGACCTAGTGCAACTACAGAGCTCTTTCAATAAATACTATAAATTACCCCCCAAGACCTTAATCTCCTAGGACCTTAATATCTTTATCCGCCTCATAAGCAAGTGAAAGAGAGTTTAATCCCCAAGATTTTCCAGCGCAGACTCCGAACACTAGTTCAATATCATTAAACCATTCCAAATACTGTTAAGAAAACAAGACAGAGAAATACAGTAACCAAGAAATTTGAAGCACCCAATTTAGTAACTTAGGTAAAACATGCTACTAAAACTTTCTCCTCCCTCATATTTTGAATTTAATTTGGGTGTCATAAATGTATCCTGTCTGATCTGGAACAAGAAAGGAAACATCCGATGCCAGATCCAAATAGAATAGTTATCGACTTTACTTGTGGGAATCTAGTGGCAAGTTCGGATGCTGAATTATGGGCAAGAAGTCGGGATTAAAACAGGAAAAAAGAATATTGAGAAATGATAAAGACAATGAGGCTGTCAGGATGTTGATGACCACTGATCAGTGATGTAGACGATGGCGAGGGTATCTTAACATGATGGATGCGGAAGATAATGGTTCATAATCGAGAGCAGATAGAGAATATGCCCAATAAAAAGAAAAAATTCAACAAAAATATAGCATGTTCAATATCAGTCCCAGATCCCTTAGGTAAGAAACTTATGTGTAGGGTTGCATAACTCAAACCCAAGGGAGTTGCAACAGAAGAATTATCCGCAAGTCGCATTTCTTTTATCAGTTACCCATCCTCATCTGAAAGATTCAATAGCCTGTTTACTACTGCAGTTAGATATGGTGAACTTTTCTCTTGTGAACCTGGCCATTTACTCTCTGACCGTTTCTCCTTAACATTTGATTGTCATATCATGACAAAACAACCAACATGTCCGCTTTTACTAACAATTTCCAATTAAATCATAATTTGTCTGATAAGGAACTAAATCACGAATATTATCAATTTACCAACTTTATATTTCATGTCATTATTCCCCACCACAGCAAGTACAAACTACACCGACTTAGATGAGACTTCTTATGGCATGGGAAAGCAGAAAAAGAAAAATATACTTGGTTGAAATAGTCAAGAGTACCAGCATCAGAAGAAAAAGGGGACTGAGTGTCAAGAACTTGAGGCTGCAACACAAGAGTTTATCATTTGAGTACTGGAGGTTCAACAATGATCAAGATTGTGCAAGGTGGTTATCCAGATGAATTGTAGTATTGCAGATTACTGGTGCACTAATCCAGTCACAGGGTCACATTGGATTGCTCTTCATTGACAATTATCTGCAGATTTCAGAATATGGTTAACACTGAACCGAAGGCTGGAGATGGCCAAAACAGAAAATTTTGCAGGATAGTGGATAGAGAACACCCCTCTGAAGATAATATTTCCAGATTTTAAAGAAAATTTTGCAGGATAGTGGATAGAGAACGCCCCTCAGAAGATAATATTTCCAGATTTTAAAGAAAATTTTGCAGGATAGTGGATAGAGAACGCCCCTCAGAAGATAATATTTCCAGATTTTTTTTCTTAAAAAGGTAAAGGTAATATATCCAGATTTATACCGCTTTGTAATTGCAGACTGCAGAGGTGACATATATGGATCAGATTTAGAAGAAATCTCCAAGTTTAGGAAGTGTATAGATTAACCCAATTTTTCAGAAATTTCTGTAAATGATAATATACTTTTTGGTTACAAGGAGTAGAGAAAAGGAAGTAGTAACAGTAAAAGTCACTGCAAATGATTTAGAAGGGTAAAGGAGCTATATTCTGAACCTGATCCGCTGGTTAGATAAAGAATGCAACTTTACTGTTTAATCCTCTTACAACCTGCTAACAAATGCAGGTAAGGATGACAGGCAGCAGCTCTGTAATAGGTTCTCGAAATCTAATGCTCCCTTAAAAGCTAAGTTGCGCGGACTCTTCAATTTTTATGCCGAACCTGTCTCGACGCGATTCTGGGACAGGTGCGGGTGCGGGATACGTTTCGGATTCGGTCAACCAACTTCGGATACTTAGACCGGAGACCGTGGACAGATTTGGGGGGAAAATTGAGATTTTGATTTCTCAAAATAAAATATAAAACAGATTTAAGACATGGGCAATGGCATAGCTTCAATATTATAGTCCTTTTGTCTTATATTCGCTGCTACAGTATACATGTATGTTTTTCACATAATATCCCCAAATTTAGAATATCTTTATAGCTCTTTTTTTTTTTTTTATAATTTTGAATGTTCTTAGCCGAATCCAAGCACTCGTATCCATACCTGGATCCGCACCCCCGAATCTTAAAATTTAGATTTTGCCGAATCCAACTCTCGGATCCGTACCCGTATCGGGTACCCGTACCCGAGTCTGAGCAACTTAGCTTAAAAGTGCCTTGCTTTGGATGGCTAGTACGTGTGGCATGTCTTCAACAATACAATCTGCAGAACAGGGGTTTCATCATGGGTAAAAGATGTTCTTTGTGTTAACAATGCGTAGAAGCCCCATACGTACGTTGTTTAATCTTTTTCGAGTTCAGTGGGTCATGTCAAGTACCTTGAAAGAAGCTATAATCAGCTGGCAACGGCTGAAGTTAACAAGACATCTTAAAGCCCTCTGGATTACAACTCTCATGAGCATATTATGGACTGTTTGAAAGGCCAGGAACTACAAATAAAATGAAGATCAGAGGCACTTTATAGCTAGTTATATAGCTTCTTAAGATCATTGACCTTTTGGTATAATATGAAAAACGTACATGGTTCTGAAAGTTTCATTGACTTCACTGATTCTCTGCATCGAGAAAGGAGTTTAAGTCCTATATTTTTTTGTAGAGATAAAGAACTTTCTTGGTGCTGGTAGTTTGTGAATAGAGTTACTTCACATAAAGAATATGAACACATAACCCTGCCTTAAGTCTGCAAAAGTCAAAGGCTGATTTTTTTCATTTAACAACAAAAATACTTATTTTTTATAACTGAGAAAACCCCAAGGGCTAGTTGGCGCACAGTTCGAAACTTGTTCCACCTCCTCAACCTCGAATTGTCGTTTCAGCATTCCCTTGTCAATTAAATTAATATATGAATTTATGAAAGACAGGTGCCATCTAAGGGTGGTACCCAATATTCATTTTCCTCATATAAAGCTCACTTGTATTTATGTCATATCTTCATGACTCTTATCGTCATGTTCCCAAAATTGTTTCATTAATTTCTAAATTTCAATTAAATTATCCTTTATGTGATAATTGTCCATTTGGCGGAAATTGGTGTTATTATCTCCCTCTTTCAGCCATTTAATGTGAGATTTCTTTTCCTAAGCAATGACAATTCATCTGAACTTAAGTTCCTCATCTTCAAAACGATTATCTAAGTTGTCCTTTCCTTTCAAGGAATTCAATTCACGCATGAGATTAGCAATTTTAAGTGTCCACCCCATCATACACCTTCCAATTTCAAATCTTGGATCCTTCTTCAACAGTTTTATCTTAAAAGACAATTTAAAGCTCGGTCCCTATTGACAGCATAGCCATCCCACAAGTCATCAAGTCCTTGAAACCAACTTTTTGAAATTAAATTTTTTTTAAAACCAAAGGGCAATAATAACCTATCTATTCAGCCATTATTTAGTGAAAGACGACAGTGTACGATAAAAGTTTTGACAGCCCTACTGGATGGAAAGATATCTCTTGCCAATCACTAGATGTTAATTTTACCAATGCATAATGTTGTTATTCTTTTCTCCAAGTAATGTTGCACCTCAGAGTGCCAAATCAATGATAGCAACAGTTTTGCATGAACTCGAAAAAGTCGTTGGTTACATGTTCCCCACTTTGTCAACCACTTCTTTCTTCGAGAAATCTGGTAGCATAGCAATCCCCTGCAATCACGCATTAAATTGCCATAGTTGCCGCCCTTGCTGCCTACTTCACAATTTATCTCCTATAGAACTTGTATACTGTTCTTCATTCCATGTCTACGCGGATAAAGCCGATTCTAAACTTCTCCAATCACTTTGACACAACAAGATAAAGCTTGTGAAGTCAGTATCTCCTCAAGAAGGAAGATTACCTTTTTATCCCATTCCCATAAAAATCAATATATAATCTGCAGCCCCTCTAAAAATTTTGCATACAATACGAGTCACTTGTTCTGTAATTCCTTTCATCTTTTCTGGACTGGAACCATCTGCAAGCAAACATCAGGTGACCTTCATTGTTTTCTTGCTCCTTCAACAACCCCCTCATTTAGGGATCATTTAGACCACTAGTGTTCCACATCATAAATTTTAGAAGCGTATTGGTATAAATTAAAATGCATATTTCCCTTCCCCCTTCTTTCATTTACCCTAGTTTTCTATCATAGTTCACAGTTGAAACAACGTGACTAGGTCCAAATCTTCCTTACCTTTCTGATATGGAATCAGCATTCCTTCTATCATTGCTTACCTTCCTCACTCTGCCTTTTCCTTAATTCTGCACGACAAATCTATTGTTACGCTCTCAAAGCTTGTAAAGGAAATTACTTTTCTGATATGGAATCAGCATTCCTTCTAAAATTGCTTACCTTCCTCGCCCTTCCTTTTCCTCAATTCTGCACGAAAATCAATTGTTTCGCTCTCAAAACTTGTAAAGGAAACCTCTAAACTGCACGTAATGTCTATACAAGAATCCTTACTTATCTAGATGTAGTGTATATGTGCATCTGTACAAACACAAACACAGTTAATGTTCACAAAAAGGTTCCTTTTGTTTAGCCAAATTGTTAGTATTTATTTTTCTATATGGTAATGAGAGGAAAACCATTCTAATTGCATACAATCTAAGGAAAGGTTGTATCGTTTTTAAATGGTGTTGCTTATGAAAATTATATGGAGAAGATGTAAACCACCTAGTATTGCATTGATTTTGCTTCGGAGTTGCGGAGATTATGCAGTATTCAGTATAAAATGGTGGAGAATTCCATCAAATCTATTGAAGTGGTGTAAGTATTACCTAGTTCTGTTGCAAAAATGCTTATAACTAAAAAATTAAGATAATTGGACTCTGGAAAAGGAAGTGACTGATGACAAATCCATTTTGTACTTTTTTGGGGTATTGTGGAGAGAGACGAAAGGGAGAGTCTTCGAACTGATCAAAAGTACTATATCACAGGTTAAAAGTTCTCTTACTGTCTTTTATTTTTTGGATTAAAATGGAAATATCGACAAGCATAAATAGTTGGTTAGATTTTTGGGAAGTTTGATATGCTCACAAGTTAACTCCATCTTTTCGTACTATTAACAAAATCATTTGACTTACCCAAAAAAGAACAAACAAAGAAACATTAGATCCGTAGCCACAATTTGCACCTCATGATATTGAAGGTGATAACTAATGCCCTAATTAGAAACATTAGATCCCTCATTTCCTCATTCTGAAAAGTGCATTAAAAACTTAAACAGTACCTGAAACAGACATCTTTTTACCACCACCAGTTATTTCTCTGTAATCCAGATAAGAAAGGGAGAACCAATATGTAAGAATAGTCCACATTCTAGTTCACGCCTTTAAATTTAGAATTAAAAAGTTCAGCCTTATATGATTGAGTTTATTAAATGATACAATAATCTAGCCGAATTCCTGAATTTCTAAAGTCAGTAGATGCTGTAATAACTACCAAGAAAATAGAACCTGATCTTTCAAAATTGTAACAACTTATGAGCAACTACCAATTGAAATAACTGCTGTCTTCCTTTTTCAAGTTGCTTTTTTGCCAAATAACTATAGAAGTCCAAGGAACCATTCAAGTTTAGTTACTAAGTTCCTGCTGAACCTAAAATCTAATGCCATAACTGCAATTAATATGGAAAATTAGCTAACTTCTTTCATTCCGCGTTTATTCTGATACCATCCAAAGAACCATTTTTCATGGCATATCATACAATAGACAAATCCTATCTCATTTATCCGCATATAATCCAATGCTAATTCTTCTTGCTTAGAAATCAAACAATGATTAATGAAAGCAAGATCTTTAACACTTGATATAGGAAGTTCATAAACCATGCTATTCTTTTCGGAGCGGAAGCCATATATGGGATTTAGCTGTCACAAAGGAATAATCACTTACTTGAGCATCTCAGCGAAACTCATAGCTTCATCAATTCCAGGAATTGCATTCGCCAAATCAGACAGAAAATCGTCCATTCCATCTGAACCAATTGTGTCTTCATTCTCCACGGTTGGATCAACTTCCTAAAGAACAGAATTTCAGTCATAAAATCCTGATGCCTTACAGCATATCCGGAAAAAAATTGGCCTTAAATTCAGAATGCTACAAATTTGATAACCATAGTAGGTTAGACATCAGCCAATGAGTATAGTGCATCAAGACCTACACATTACAGTAACTACACCTCTTTCGCTAACTAGTTTGTTCAAAAGTATGAATATTCAACAATCATTAAGCTCTATTTTTGCCTTTTCATTCCAATACTCAACAATTTATTTTCCTGGACAGATTAGGGGTTCGTTAAAACTAAGAATTCTCTCAACTTACAGTTACCTACTCCTTGACTACAGTGATATACACATAAGAGTTTAACTAAAATTCATTCCCACATAAACAATCCCTTCACCTCTCTTTCTTTCTCCCCAAAAAGAAAAAGAAGGGAAATTTTCACTTTATTCCCTCACTTCTAACCAAGTGGTTGTGAGTTCGAGTCACCCCAAGAGCAAAGTGGGGAGTTCTTGGAGGGAGGGAGCCGAGGGTCTATCGGAAACAGCCTCTCTACCCAAAGTCTGCGTACACACTACCCTCCCAAACCCCACTAGTGGGATTATACTGGGTTGTTATTGTTGTTGTGATATATGACTAGCACATTTAACCTTCAATTAATTGAAATGTGCACTTCTAATCCATCTGCTTATGAATCTTCAAAAATTTAACGAATTAATTACCATTACATCATTTGACTATGTTAAGTTTGTGATGTTACTCCATATTTGACGGTAATATAGTTCAAAATGTAGTCCAAATATAATATACTTCCTATATAAGGGACCAAAAACATATTTTTCAACTAATTGAAGGTTAAACATGCTTAGTCAAATATCAAAAGGATTAAAATTACAATTGACCAGATAACCGAGGGACCAAACAACAAGATTAACATGGGGCAAAGTAAGAAAATTAATTACCATGGCATACAAATTGGTGAAACCATTAACAAGGGTAGGAGCCTTTGTAAACCGCTGTTGAAAAGCATCACTGAGATTGTGAGCAGGGTCAGTGGATATGATGAGAACTGAGGATCTGACCTGTGAAAGTAAAATACCCAATATGGAACTGCATGTTGTTTTCCCAACACCACCTTTTCCACCTACAAATACCCACTTCAAGGTATCTTGGTCTAGCACATTCTTTACTGTTCCTTCTGGTAAATCTTGATCAGTTGAAGCCATTGATACACACACAACTGTTTACGTTGGGTTTTTTATTTTTCCTTCCCCCTATTTATTATTGTTGAGAGAGGGGAAAGAGAGAGACAGAGAGAGAAACTGATACGAGGTCTTATGATTGATCCTGCAGATCAGATGCAAAAAGTTCTTATTCTTGGATATGTTTAGGTATTAGGCCTTCCATTGGAGGCTTAAACTGGAGTAAAACTTTCTAGGAGCAAAGAAAGGAAATAGTTTATGGAAAGGTTGTCTGAGGTGTCAAAAGAATTAATGCAATCAAATATTAGGATATATATTTTCGATATAACAAAACAAATTCCGAAGGCAATTGACCGCAAGTGGATACACTTTGTACCTAGCAGCGTCACATGATTTCTTTTACTAAATATAAATATACTAATTACTATATATATATATATATGTTGCACGTAAATCTTTAGTCAAAACTTTTAGGTGAAAGAACAACTAACTAAATTTAGTAACAAATTACTTACAATGATCATTATAAAGTAATTAACATAATAAAAATACAACAATCATTTTAATGCTAAAAATTAATGTAATAACATTAACAGAATACAAAGATGATCAATTTAGTTAAGTTAAAAAGTATCTTATTTATAGAATATAAATATTCGGTGAGGTAGAATCATATCTAATACTTCTTTATAGATGACATTTTTGGTGTATGTTTCCTTTTATAACTTTGGCTTAAAGTAAAACATATAGTTGTCCCTCTTTGAATAACCTCCAAAAAGTATTACGTTTTCACTATTGTACTTCGACATATTTGTGAGGGTTGTCTAAATTATTTATAAGTTATGTCGAATTTAAATTATATCGTATATAACTCGAATAAAATTATTACTGCTTTATCGTATTCAAAGCAATAAAATATTAATCATACACTTATTCTGATAATCAAGTACATGATTAAAATTTTTAGAGAAATATTTATTTTAACCACCCTAAAAAATAATAACAGATAAATATATATATATATA